GTGTGTGTGTGTGTGTTTGTGTGTGCTCATGTGTGTGCAGGTGCATCTACACTGGCGTTTGTGTCTGTGTGCTCATGTGTGTGGAAGCCAGGGGACAACTTCAACAATGCCATCCATCTTCTTTGAGAAAGGGTATCTAACTGACCTGGAATTCACCAGCTAAGGTGACGCTAACAGGTCAGTGATCCTCCTGCCTCCTTCTCCTCAGGGCTGGGACTGCAAAGGTGTACACTATGCCCAACATCTTTTCATGTGGTTTCTATGAACCCAGTTCAGGTCTTCATGCCTGAGAAACAAGCGTGTTGCTGGCTTAAGGTCTCCGCAGACTCTCATTTGCTCTTGAAGAGATTTCTAAGGGAGGGGGTCTGTGATGGGTGCTGGGAAAGAAAACAGAACAATGAGGAATGAACCTGCTCTCAAGGCTCTTGAATAAGTTGCCTTTTTGATTGCCAAGTTGACATAGGCCAGAGGCAACTTTCTTAAAAACATTCTGTGTGGACAAAGTGTACGTATTTCACGTTTTGTGGGAGCCCCTTCACTCTGCCCTCATGCACGGGGGAGACAAGGGTATGCCTGGAAAACGGGTGTGGTTCCCCTCAGGAGAACTTCCCAGATACTGTAAATTTCCTATAATTATCAAGTATTTTATATGACTATTAAGACTCCCCCACAATCATTAACACATGTAAATCATTCTTATTTGATGACTGAACAAGAACAATCAGGCGTTGGGCTAGCGCTATTTGGAAAGCCACAGATTGTCAGTCCTCTTCTAGGATGGCCACTGAGGACTAGATGGGTGAACCCATCCTGGAATGGAGAGCTCACTCGCCTCACAGTGTGCCTCTGCCCCTGCCTCTGCCGTGCCCTCGGTGCATGACCCTAGCTCCTAGTCCACAAACCTGTACTCAAAGCAGAAACATGGGCACGGTTTCCTGGTGTCACTGGGACATCTGGGGGCTTGTTTGGCAAGAAAACCAAAATGACTCTGGTGACTATTTGGTCCTGAAATGATTTTAATTTAGTTTTTTTTTTCTTTATTCCCTTACCCTTTTTCTACAACAGAAATTAACATAAACATTCCTTCTGGCTAAATTCCCAATGCACTTCTTCACAGTGAGCATTTTCTGAAGTGAAAATTAGGGGCTTCCTTGCAGTTCTGATCAGGAATGTGAAACGGTGCAGCTCACAGGGGCGGGGAACTCAGGCTCATTTTTGAATTAATTCGTGCTGTGAAGGAGGCCTCTCTGCCGCCTGCCAGAGGATCCTTTCTGCAGAAATCCGAGCATGTGGGTGGTGTGTATTATTCTCCTTTCTCATCCTGTCATCGAGACAGTATCATTGGGTACAGGGAGAAGTGTATTGGCACTGGCCCCTGTGGAGGACGTCACTCTCTATGCCATCCCTAAGTTCGCTAGAACCTGGGGTGAGTAGCCAGGTCTTTTTCTATCCCTCCAGCCTTCTAACCCCCAGTTTTTATCTAGCGGAATCTAGAATCTAATGATGATGAATAAATTGGCCAGCTCCTAGAAACACTGCAGTCCAGTTGGGTGGGGAAGGAGCAGACTTCTGCCTGTCTCTAGTTCTAGCCATCTGGTTCTCAAAGCAGTCTTGGGTCCTTCAGACTGACGATCTAAGGTGGATCTAGGTGAGTCTGTTTGTCTATCTATCTATCTATCTATCTATCTATCTATCTATCTATCTATCTATCTATCTATCTACCTACCTACCTGTCATCTACCTGCCTGTAATCTAGCTACCTACCACCTTATTATCCATTGTCTTAGGGAAACACCATGATCAAAGTTTTGGGAAGAAAGGGTTTATTTTGCTCACAGTTCTATATAACAGCTCATCATCAAAAACAGCAAAGTCAAGAACCTGGAAGCAGGAGCTGATGCAGAGGCCGTGGAGGAGTGCTATTTACTGGCTTGCTCCTCACGGCTTGCTCAGTCTTCTTTCTTTATAGAACCCAAATCCGCCAGCTGAGGTCTAGTCCCATCCACAATGGGCCGAGCCCTCCCGCATTGATCACTAATTAAGAAAATGCCCTACAACTGGGTCTTATGGAGGCATTTTCTCAATTGGAGCTCTCTCCCCTCTGATGAATCTGGTTGACATAAAGCTTGTCAACTAGCTGTGTCAACTCAAGGGATAAAAAGCCTGCCAGTAATCTATGCATAATCTATCAATCATTAATCTTTCTACCACCTATATATCATTTGCAGGTCATCTATCTGTCTATTCACCTATCTGTCTACCCAGTTCTACTCTTGGGATATCTTTGATATCTAAGGTCTGATAACTGAGATTTTGCAGAATTTAAATTCTGCAACAATTTACGGGAGCTACACGGAGGAGGAAATCACACTATAATGATTTAAATTCCATTTTTTTTGCATCAGTTACATCTCAGTTTGAATCTTGGTTTCTTCACCTAGAGGCCATTGTAGACTTTGGGAATAACGGTCAACTTCATTGCTTAGGTGGAAGAGACAAACTCAGTGCACCCTGCAGCTTGGAAGAGAGTTCCTTTCCCTGATTTTGGCTCCGAATTTTTGTTGAATTGCTTTGTTGCTTCTGAAAGCACAGAAAAACAAATATGCAAAAGAGAAGATCTGAGCCTCAGCTAGAAACTACAGGGAAGGTGCTCAGGTGTGTTCAGGCATGCTTGTATGTTGTGTGTGGAGGAGGAAGGGAGAAAACAGCTGCGCTCCGTGGGGCTTGAATGTGTAATATCTCCAATACACATGCACACCACACACACACACACACGTGTGTGTGTGTGTGCACCAGGTTCCCAGCTGGTGGGGCTATTTCTGGAGGCTGTAGAGTCTCTAGGAGCTTAGAATGGGGGGTGATTGCACACACCTTTGAAAGGGCCCGCTGAGGCCCCATTCTCTGCTTCCTGATTTGCCTACCTGTGGAAAGTACAGCAGCAGGCTATGGCCCACTTCCTTCCGTAGCAGTTTTCCTGACATCATCAAGGAAAGTCCTCCATACAGAGCTCATGAACCAACCTGAGGATGTTGAAGAAGGCAGAGTTCGCAGAAGCCGTCCCAGTGGTCAAGGGTGGGATAGCATTCTCATGAGAAGGATGGCGAAAGTTTTGGATTTTGCTAAATTTAAGGGCCTGCAGGTGTAGAAAGTGTCAAGGAGGACTCTGATGGAAAATGCTGGGGAAGATGCCAAGGAGACTGGTCTCTCGTGCAGGTGGACTTTTGTGATATGGGGAAAAAAGCAGGGTGCTAACGGAGCAGATGGTGGCTCTCCTGCCTCCCCGTGGGGAATAGTGCTGGAAGGGAGACCCCGTGTAACTCAGCCACCCTTGCTGTGTCCTGCCATTACAGAAGTCACTCAGCAAGTGATAGCTGACAATGCAAGGAGACCAGCCACAGGTCATCTCAATCCAGGACCGATGGTCGTTCCAACCACGGCGCTCCCTTTAAACTCCCTCAACCTCCCTAGTCCTTAAAGCAACCCTTCCAACCTCTGAGCATCTCTGAGCCGCTTGCTGGCATGGGGACCTGGGACGTGAAGATGGGGACCGCCATGGAGGAAGAAAGCCGATGGCAATGCCTTATAGCTGTAGAAATGTAGAAACA